AGATTTTGTTCATTTCGAAGGAGAAAATACACGCAAGTTGACGTTGATGAGTGTATGGAGGTAAATTGACTGATATACCCCTAGTACTTGAATGAATATTACGGAGTCTTACCCTTAACTTAGTTAGAGGTGGATAAGCCCATCTTTCTTGAATTGCGTGTTCGATTCATATGGTGTGGGCAGGGCCGGCTCAACAATTTGATGGGCCCACAAGGGCAAAAAAAAAATTTTTGGCCCCTAATTTATTTTTAATTGTTTTTTTGCTAAATAAAACAAGTTTAAATTTTTTTTAAGTAAATTCAGTTAATTAAATATGAAATTACGTTATAAAAAAAATATGGGCCCTTTTATTTATTTTTAACTAAATTTTATCTACTTTTTAATATTTAAAAAAAAAAAAAATTTGGGGCCCTTGATTCTTGGGACACAGAGTTGGGCCCAGGGGCATCGCACCACTTGTCACCCTGCCTGAGCCGGCTCTGAGTGTGGGATAGAGTAAGGAAACTAAAGCCAGTCTCTATTCATTTGATGATATCATTCCATAAATAAATATTTGTTTCGGTGGATTTATTCAACTTTATGCAATTTGATTTTGGTTTCTTTCTTTTTCAGGGTTTGAATAGCAATGTGATTCAACTGTTATATATGGTGATTTGAATGTGTGCGAGTGATGTGATTAGTTAATACTACGAATGGAAAAACAAATTTAGAGGCAATGCGATTATCGCATTGTGGATTGTAATTTTGGGAGTTGCCTTTCAAAATAAGCATTATATGTTCAAAGAGGTGGATATCAAACCTAATCTAAAAATATACTTTATAAAATACATCTAAAATCACATAGACAAGTCAATTTGGTTGTCTTTCTCTTGTGCTTTAAACTAAGTTTTTATTATTTGAGAGTTGAAATTTTATCAGAAAACACCATATCAATGTCTCTAATAAACACCATGTGCGAATGTTTGAGCAAAAGAAGCAATTAATATATCTTTGTAAGTCTCGGCAAGGCGTCGATGGCTCATGTTTTGTTATCATATAGTTTACTGGATCTTGTAGGATTTGAAGGTTAATTGTGTTCTTACCTAGTTTCTTGTATGAAAATCATTCTTTATTTTTGGTGATGTTTTGTTTCTGGAAACTCATAATTCCGCTATTTTTATGCCTTTTTCAATACGTTGCTAAAACAAACAGGTCAAGAAAATTTTAAGATGGATCCCTGAAAAAACAAGAAATACACTCAAAGAAATGGGACATAACCTTCAAGAGTATACATGATTGAATATCTTCCAATCCCCATGGTTGATACAACCACTGAAAATCTTCAAAATGTTTCAGTGCCTAACTGTTTGTCAGTGCCATATGTTTATGATGGTTACACCACCATCTCCGCAGTATGCCAGTTAAAACTAAATTCATGTGTTGAATTTATTGAATGCTTTGACTTGTGTTTAGAAAGTAACACATGCATTTATATCACTCTTATTTTCAGGATCCTTTGAGAATTGAGCTAGCAGACGTTATTAAGAAAGTGCTAGTCATAAAAAACTCTAGACCAAAATTTGAGTCGCATGAGATTGAAGCTAATGACATGTCTATATTGGTGGATAATCTGTTGGCGAAAAGACCTGCAAAATCAGCAGATATGAGATCTGGGGTGTCTAAGATGTCACACAGTTCCTCTTGGACAGGTCCTAATTCTATTTTTGGTGACAATTCAACAATCATGGAAGATGGGGTGAGACTAGATCCTATTCAAGATGTGGTAAATCCTTAAGAAGTCATGTCACATGGTGGAACAATTCTGAACAACCTGTTTGCAAAGAAAAATACGTAGGCACAAGGAGTTAGTCACTATATTGTTTTTGAAGGTTTGCATTCGAAAGCGAAAGTCGCTATCTGATGAGATTCTTAAACCAACGTCAGTCTAGTGAAGCCTCCGCACATGTTTTACGAGTCATTGATTACATGCACGATGGGAAATTCGGCTATCTTATACTGGAGCACAGTCCGTGCACATTAGAGGATGTTATGAAATTTACATGGAAATCAATTGGGCAAAGCAAAACTGAATTTGATACATATATGGAGGTTGTGTTGAACGCACCATGGGGAAGGATCATATATTTATCAGGGTTTAAACTGATCCTGGTCAAGAAGATAATTAGTGGACTTGTTGATATACACAGTAAAAAAGTCATTCACAAGACTTTACAACCGAATTCTATCAGAATTGTTGTTAGTGATTCACGGGTTGTAATTGCAAAGATTACAACGCCTCTCGAACCCTGTGATCTTTGCAATTACAACCCCGCATTTACATCTTATATCCATATGAATAAGTAAAGCGTACGAATTGCTACTTATTAGTTAATTAAGTGCTTTTGTAATTCCTTCGGTATTTATGTTTTTTTTTCAATAAAGTAGCAAGTAGCAAGTAACAAAAACAAACTAACTTGCACGTAGGCAACCACCCTAACAATGTTGGTGAACAGAATCTTTCAATCAATAATATAATGAAATTTTTTGAAAAATGTCATTTTTGAATTGCTAATTTTCAAAAATATTAGTATTTTAATTTTTTTTTGTAAAAATACCA